GTTCAGAAACAAGGTGATTGAGTACGATAGTTATGATAACTTTCGAGGTTTCTGTTTAATGCCAGATATGAGGCGACCGCTGTCGTCTCTTCGGGAACAGGGTGAGGGTATAAAGCATTGAATCTCGTCCTGATAGGAGGAAACAGACACCAACCGGGAAGGATCGAAAGAAAGATTGGTGCCCGCAACTTCAACTCAAGAAAACTATCAAGAAGGGGGGAAACTGGAAGCCCGAAGTAGATAGTGAAACGGAAGTAGCCAGTCTCCGGGAATAAACAAGGGCTATTCTAGCTGCTACGCAACAACCAGTGTCGATGGATCTCGGTTTAAAAAACGCAAAATCCTGAACGAGTGTTTTCTTTTCACAATAACATGAAGCCATTTGAGAATGACGATTTCACAACAAGATAAAGTCTCTATAAATACAAACCATCACACAAGAATGTGGTTGCCGCAAAGGAACATCCAGACCACGGCAACTGCATCCAAGAGCCCGAATTTCAACCCAAATGAAAATGTTTAGTTTCTATTGAAGATACCAGTCTATGTGCATGGAAAGCTATTCCACACAGTCAACGAATCAAAGACAGTTATCCTTCATGAGTGAAACAATTTCAAAGTTCTGCCAATCGTGAAAAAGACCGGAATTTTGTCTGAGCGCTGTGTTTCAATTAGGAATAATAAAGGTTGGTGTTTATAACGGTCAGTTATCACAAACATTTCCATCGCATTTAAATGCACTCAAATAGTGGGGAATGGACGATCTCCCAAGGAGTGAAACCCACACCGAACATCATGAGCAGTGCCTGGTGCCTGTGAAAAACCGAATGGGATAATCCAAACATCGTCCATCGAAAATGTTTTATAACTACTTGGATGTTTTCATCAGTTTCCTAAGGCCGGCACATTGGCTAAAATAATTTAGTTTATCAGTTAATTAAAATCCGTTTGGTTCCTCTATATGGCAATGCGCTGTATTATTGTTATACCAAATTTGAGCAATCTGAATAGTTTGGTTGCCGAGAAATTACAAAGGCTAAAGTAAACATCGATTTGTGCACTATACATCTGTGGACAGGTCTGCGACGTGGTGAATGTGGCCCGACATTAATTAGGCCGTTCACCCTTATCGAATTTCATTTGCCCAATAAGGTTCTTCAGAAAAGGCGAATACGCCGAATAACTGGCGGCCAACTCATCTGGAACAACGCTGTCTTACAATGCAGGCTTGGTTGCACCAAGGCTAGGGTACATTTTTGAGCAGAGCTTACTCCGGATCAGACGACCAAGTAGCACAACAGTCCGCAACGAAGATAACTATGNATAACTATGGGCACGTAATTAAACTGGAATTCAAAGCTTTGTTTAATGAGTGCAAGCTACTCTATATTTCTCACCGGGCAGCGAAAAAGCATGGTGCGAACGCAACAACAAGAATAACAGAGGATGAAGAAAGAGGTTGAGATACAAAACAGTGAGATGTGGGTCAAACAATTACGGTAGGTAACCAGAATAACATCTTTGGTTCACCGAACACCTTTTGATGTTTTTGAGTTAGTTTGTTTTTCTGTATGGGAGACGGGATTTCAACAGGTATACCGTACAGCGTTCACGCCACGGTCTCATATTCTGGGCCATTTCTCTTAGTATCTCGAACCAACAACAATCCTCAATCCTTGGGCCTAAACCTGAAAAGCGGGCTGCACCAATCGAAGCCAAAGCTGAAGCTAGCTTGTTCATACATCTACGCCAGATTATAGTCTGACCGCCGCGACATTTCTTCCGGCCTTCACCAGCAAGTGCAAAGAGAGTACAGAAAGGTAGACGATGAAAAGACACGCAAAACGTGAAAAACTTTCGGAGGCGGTGTAGAGCGATTACTTCTTTTATAGGATGGCTATTCGCAACCAATACACCAAGACGAAACTTGCCATTGATCACCCGATGTTTCCACCAGACACAACCAATGCTTCGGAGACATTGGTGGTTGAGTAGCATCCGCAATGCGGAGGGGCCGGGTCTCGAACACTACAAACCGCAGCGATGCACACTCGTCCCTTAAGCGACAGTCGGATGTCGTGGCGGTGCCACAGGTTGTCAAAAGCTGATCTATCTTTGGCTACTCGTGATGTGATCTCCTTCCTGACACCACCACCAGCTGCGATCAAGCACCTGAGGTACTTAAAGCTCTGCAACATTTCTAACTGATCACCACAGATGGTGAATACAGGCACAGATTCCTGACAGTCATGGACACGCACTTTGCATTACAAAGCGTTAATCATACATTTAATTTTCATTGGGAATTCCAAACGATTATGCTCAACAGTGCCTCAGATGGAACACTTGTTGCCTTTCTTTCGCTTCCCATTAAGTAACGTGACTCCCGTCAATCCTCCACCAATTGAAACTCTTCTAGTCCTTGATTTCCATCTAAAATAGCACCACATGACGATCGTGAAGTGATACTAACACAACAAAAGAAATGTTTAGATCGTAAACTCTGTAACTCAGTAATCGATGTGTTGTAGTCCAGTTATATCAAGACTCAAGCTAAGTCATTTGATTAACGATCTTTCTGGAATCCCTTAGTCCGCGACATCTTGTCTTACTGGTCTTGGCGTGGCTCACAGTGAGACGAAGTCGTGCTGCTCGATTAGATCTCAGCTGACGGTCGCTTGTGCGCAGTGAGCACAGTAAGCCGCCGCCACCTCGATAGACGCAACGTGCTTGTGGTACCTTCAGACTCTCCCAGTGACTGCATCCGACGCTACACAATATCTTGCATAAAGCGATTCAAATTGATTTCGTGATTTTTTGCGGGAAATATGAATGTTAGAGTAGGTGGATGGTCTTCTGCAAAGTCATTCTGGACTAGATTCCTGTCGCTCGGAAACGGCTGTTGGCTCTATGCTTTGATCATTGCCTGTTCCTCGCCGAAGAGAATTCCAAACGATCCAAATGTCAGGCCACTTAGGCGTTCATCCTCCTGGAACCAAATCGTTGTAAGCTACACATGACGGGGCTGCATGGAAGATCGTCGATTGTCCTTGGGTACCCCCTTCGATTTCGATCAGGTATTGGTTCGCACCAAGTTGAAAGCCTACTTTGGTGGGCTTTGAAAACGCGACACACCAAAACGTTTATGATTATGATAAACCCACCTAACTTGTCGAACTGCCTTTCAAAACGCGCTAGCTGAAAAGTTAGGACCAAACAAAAGTGATAACATCCATCAGCACTGATGGCTTATCAAGCAGGTTGTGCACTCTTCTGTGAGTTGTGACTTGATACGTCATACCGTGACACGATGGAGTTGCGCTGCCTTTCATGATGCTCTGGAAGAGGAAAATCAATTCTGACCGGCAGCGATTAGAATTGGTCAGTTTCCATGAAAGAGGACGAAGAGCTGGGATGTCCCAAAGCGCCAGAATCCCATGGCCTTTGCCCAATTCTATTTTATTATTTTAATTTTAATAAAACCTTTCAGATAACAGGAGGCGGTGCTTCAACAGTTCAGAACATTGAATAATTCCCCTCGTAGTTGTGGGAATCGAAAGTCATTCGCATCTTTGAAAACGGACCGCGCAGTGACTGCACGAAGTATTCAGATATATGCCCAATCCTAAAAGGGTTATTCTTCGCCGATACGCGAAGAAAGCAGACCGCCAAGAGGCACACTGAGTTCCGCACTGATCGTGAATGCATCGATAGAATCCTCATTCTACGACAGTTGATAGACCACTGTCGTGCTGAACATATAGTAACGATCATTGCGTTCTTAGACATAAGTGAAACCTTCAACTTCCTCAATAGGACTACATTGTAGCATTGTTCGTTGAGAAATGGAATACTTGAGAAGTATACTTCGATCTTTGAAAAAATGTATCGTCAAAACTGGAGTCGGTTTGTTCTCTGCAAGATTTTGTCCAGTCTAGCAAACGGTCGATAACCTGGAATATGCCCAAGACAAATAAATATCAGCATGTATCCGCAAGGCTTGGGTGGCTTTCGCTAAACTACGTCACTTGTGGCGCAGACGCGATCAGTCTTTCCTTGAAAGGTCGCGTTTACAATGCCATAATACGCACTGTCTTGCTCTAAGGTTGTAAGAGTTGGCCTCTCCACGCACAACACGTGCGTAGATTAAGTGCCTTTGACCACTGTTGCGTTCGTTGCATTGACAGAATACATTAGCAAGAGCATATCAAGAACGAAGAGGTTCACCGAAGAATCTTCGCCTCAGACAGTCTGTCGACCTCTGAACGCCGTCATCTCGCTTCGGATTTCGGTGGCTGGGACATTGGTTGCGAAGGCCAGCTCAACGATTGTCCCAACATGTTATGTTTGCGCAAGCAACTGACTGGAAGCGGCACCAAGTTTGACGAGTGTCCTGGGCTCGAACAATGACGGCGTTAACCTCAAAACTGGCAGTGGTGGGACGCTCTGGGCTCTTATGTTGGGGTGCCAAGGACAGCGAACATCTATGGCCTGAGACACTAGCAGACATGGCTGGTAACCAACGTTAATGACACACCTTTTGCGAGACTCTTATTAGTTGATTTGTATTTAAATCCTTTCACACCTCTTTCTTCATATGTTGTGGCACATTTGCCGATTGCATGTAATTGGGTACGTGTTAAATACATATAGATATTGCTTTGTAAAGTGACAATAAACAGGTAGTCCAAGAAGCTTAGAACTGTGTGGTGAGCTTTGGACCATCCAAATGCAAAATGTTTGTTCAAGACTGGCACGAGCCTGTTCCTGCCTTCACTCTTTGTGGTGAGCAGCTACAAACAGTTTGGGAGCTTGATCACAGTTAGCGATTGTTAGGAAAGAGATCACATCGCATCCGCATACCGGGTTACAATCATGAGACATTTCACCTAGGGTGGTTTTCACCAACCCGTGAAATCTATAATGCCAAGTGTAAATAGCTCCGGTTTGGACTGTTCCGCTCTATAGCAGTGCGATATTGACTCTCCGAACCTAGGATATTATTCGACTTCCAGCATTCGACTCCTGACGTCTTCAAAGCAATGTTCATGTTTGGTGAGGACGCCACCATCATCATCATCATCATCATCATCATCATCATCATCGTCGTCGTCGTACAGCGAAATACAGTGAAGCGAACCTCCTCGATCGTTGAAAAACTCGCAATACATACAGGGTTAGTGGTAATATGTAAGGTGGACCTACTCTGAGGGAGGAGAAAGATGAACCTATATGGTCAACACACTGAGTAATCAATCTAACTTTGCATACATACCGTTTAAAATGACAACAAGAACACCACTGCTGTCGGTTCACTGCCTTCAATGTCTCCAACTGGAAGGCGCGAGAAACCTACTCTATCTAATAGCTCTGTGCATTTCTTCACGCCTAGTCTCCACATCATCCTTTGACCATGACGTGGTTTCCTCCAGCCCGGAGTGGCTAAGGCGAATAAAGCGCGACGGCGGTAGACGACAGCTGGGCATACGCAATACGTGCCCCAATCAGTGAAATCTAATCTGAATTCGATGAACTAGCAAGTTTATCCTCGATAAATTTCCAAACACATAACGGCTTACCAACAGATTACTAGTTCGTTTGCTCTATCCCGTAAGGGCTAAACTATGTAAACACCGATAATCGAAAACTTCTAGTCGATGGATATCTTTTAATGGCAAATTCAAAATCTCAGCCATAAAGCAGAACTGGAAAAACGGTAGCACAATATACACAACCTTTCGATTTCAGTGAAACGTCGCGTCTACTCCAAAGGTATTTCAGTCCTACGTACGCCGCTGCAGCCTTGGAAATGCGTGCGGTTATCTCATTTGCTGTGCTACAGTATTTAGTCACGCAACTACCTAAGCTGGAAAAATTGGGAACACCGGGTAATTAATTAACATGTTCGCCGTCGTGCGTTGGAAGCTGAGGGTTGTGTTCTACAAGGAGAAATCGCTCTACACGGCTTCTGATGGATGGTTTTTCATAAGCTTATACATCGTCCAAGGTTTCAGTGCTCTTTTTTCACGTTCTGAGAAAGGCTGCAAAAAGTATCGTGGCGGTCAGACTATGATCTGACTTAATTTTATGAAGTTAGCTTCAGCATTGGCTCCGGTTGGAGCAGGTTACCTCCCAAGTTTGGGTCCATGAGATGAGGATTTTCGCTGGTTAGAGACAATAGGAGATATGGCTCAGAACGGAAATCAGTGGAGTGAATGACCGGGTTCCCATGAAACGAGAAAAAAATCATAAATGTACGGTGAAACAAAAAATACCATTGTTGCTCCAGTTCTTTTTGTTCTCCGTAATAGTTTTGTTCACATGGCTCTGTTTTACCCGGATCTAACCCTTTCTATCATTATTATTGGCGGGTTTTGCATGGGAAAGAGACGGGTATTACACGATAACGCAACCCTGTTGAAGATAGCTTAGTGACCGCTGGGATGACAAACAAAACGTTAGCTTTGGTGCGCAGTCGGTAAAATGCATGCACTGAGCGCCGTTCATTTACTCCGAAAAAACAAGAAGTAATTAGTTATGCAAGCAACCTGACTCCTCAGATAACATGGCAGTCATCAGCCTACTGGTACCAGAATGTATTCACTTGACCCACTAAGTTTTTTTTCAGACGGCTACTCACTAAAATTCATGGTGAAATCTATAAAAGAGATAAGTAATTTTGTTACTGACAATGGCACCCTCGTTTATTCCTCCCTGAGTTTAACCAACTCCACCAGTTGGTGGTTAATAAAACAGGTTGTTTTGAATGTCAACTGACTTACCCGACCATTCGCGTCTACATGATGACCACCGCTCCCTCCAGAGGGATGTGAGGCAGGCGAATGTCGACCACTAGGTGGATATCCACGATCCATTCGCGGACGTTTTGGATCCGGCTCGTTGACCACATTCCCCGTTTGTGGACGACTCGCTGGGGGACGAGGAAAGTGCTCGGGTCCAGGCATAGTGGCCGTATTCGATGCGGCCGAAACTGCCACATTTCCAACACCCACGGGACCAACGTGTCCGGGAGGCAAGGATCGATGATGACCATGGAATGAATGGGGAGCACCGACAGAATTGTTCTGCATTTGACTTGGATGGGGAGCACGGGAATGATGATGGGGGGCAGCGTGCGGATGAGGTGCAGGCTGCATCATACCTGAGGCATTACTTGCATATGGACGCTTGTCTGCTTGCATCTGCAAAGACGACGTGAATAGAAGAAAATTAATAAACGGATTAATAGATGATTGGTTTTAAGTTAAACATTAGGGATTTGATGTTTTCTTGTCTCGCACAACTAACGACTTCAATGCCTCCGAAAGCCTCAGTATGGTCGCGGTGGGTATCTCAGATTGTGACAGGTCACCATTCCCCTACACCTCGCGAAATGCTCCTGTATGACCAATTGCCTCAAATAGCCTCTGCTGAGGAAGCCCTATTCACTGCTTTCTCGTGGCGGTGTTATCCAACCACAGTGAGAGGAGGAAAAGCCAACATCCGGGACTATAACCGGGTTGATGAACCATTGGCAGTTCACCTAGGGGAGTTGACTAAAAACCCCTGATTCTAAACCAAGAAAAGAAGAGGCGTACGCACACCTTCCAGGTTGTGGCAGTGGCCACCTGCTCNTGGTCACCTTGGACGTTTGACCCCGTCCAAAGGGCGTATGATTCAATGAACTGGACACTGGCCCCAATGGACTGCGGACTCTGAGTTCCGTCCTGTTGTCTTGCAGGTCTGGCTTTGTAGCCAAGGACTTCGGATGGGGACCCCGACGTTGTCCCCCTTCTTCGGTCAGGGCAACCGGGAAGTAACATGCCCACAAAACTTATGAACACATTCTACAGCTTTCTTTGTTCATATGCAGTGGCACATTTGAAAGTTCTCCGTAATTGGTTACGTGTTGAAATAACGACTTTAATGAAGTGACCTAAAACAGTTTATTTCGCAAGACTTAGGGCAAAAAACAACCGGGGAGAAAACGAAATCATGCTATGCACAAACATATCACCGTGCACTTATGATCAATCAATCACGTAAAGCAACCACAATAACAAAAATAAACCCTACCAACCTTTCCGGAATCCGGTTTTTGAGACTGAGTAGAATCCACAATAGGTCTTTTGGCCAATTCGCGATTAGCCATTTGCTCCTTTTGCTCTCTTTGAAGTTTCCGCGACTGAAAGTAAAATAGGGGATCATTGGCAAAACATACCCGAAGCGATGTGCGCAGTTGCTCGCGAATCTTCAAATCACATTCCTGAAAGGCTCGAGTGAACTCATCCGTGATCTTGGTGATCTCCTCGAACGTCAAAGTAGGGGAGAAAATGTGGAACCATTCGCCCCCGTTAGCCGATTGGATGTCAGCCGCATTCCATTTGGCAGCAATATACAAGCTAGCAGCGGCGATCGCCTCCGCTGAATGACGAAGAATTAATGTAGTCAAGTGCAAAATGTTTGTACAAATATAATAGCTCGTGTGGGATATCTCTTTAGGGAATTTGTTAGCCCGGATTGCATTGATGAGGTAGACATGGGGCTGTTTGACTTCAAGCGTTTGAAAACCAATCACCATTAAAATGGTTGCTTCTAACGCGTGAATATTTTGCACGAGGCGCTTTAAAGTGTCTGATCCTTCACTGGGCATGGGCCGCTTCAGTATGTCATATGTGGCTTTGATGAGGTCAGACAATTTGCGTGAGAAATCCTCGGTTTTGCATGCACAGTAGAAAGCAGCAATCGCGACCAAAATTGGTTTGATGGTTTCGGGTGAGAAAACTTCATAGAAGTGGTGCATGTAATAGATTCCGGCATTGATGACAACTTGCGTTCTAAAATGAAAACCAAGTTGTTGATTTACTCTAACTGTGAAAACATGAGTGAAAAACAACGATAGAAACGATTTCTAGGAGGGGAGATTATAAAAATGTAAGTTCCTCAAAAAGTGAACCATTTACCGAGATTCTCAAGTTTAAGGAAATATATTTTATTAAACACAACTATGTGACGCGTTGTTAAAGAAGTCAACCTATAGTCACAAGGAATTACTGCTCACTCATAGCAATCGGTAACCAAAATGACGAACCACAAAGCATTGACGTGTAAATAAGGCCGAAGACAGTGAAGCTTTCTGTAGTTAGATATAGGTGGCAGTCCAGTTCAGTTCAGCTTTTACAACCATTAACCATGCACTTTCGTGCGCCGGTTTTGTTGCTGTCTTTTGGTGCCCCGTTTGGATAAAAGAGTAGAATGAAGATTGGAATAGTGAAAGTAAATTCAAGCGAGAGATGGAGAATTTATATCGAATAATGATAGGGGAATAATGAGTGGGTGCACGAGCGCCACTGTTTGCGACACTCAGCCACATCACTCAGTGTCTCTAACCATCGGTGACCATCATTCTGAGATCCCCAGCCAGGGAGCCTAACGAGGCCTATGTGATCTAGTCTCCTGGTTAGGGTTTTCATACCCTCATACCAGGTCTTCGTTTGATCTAAGTCGAAGTTTCCTTTTAGGTCAAGGACAACGACAACGGTTGGCCGACGGCGCGTATGGCGTAGCTCGAGGACTTGACGCAGAATGAAGATTTGATCGATACACCCGCGGCCTGGTCGAGATTCTGCCTGTTGTTCGCGGATATTTTTCGCCCTAAACGCTGTCAGACGTCGAAGTATGATGGAGGCTAGTAACTCGGTGACGATTGGGATCAAGCTTATCCCACGGTGGTTTGCGCAGTCGTTGCGAGGTCCCTTCTTAAGAATGGGAACAATCAATGACTCGCTCCAGGATGATAGAATGCGCCAATGTGACCAGATTTCACGCATTAGATCACTAATGGAGTCTATGAGGACATCGCCTCGCAACTTGAAAGGAGTGAGAGAAAGCCCGTCCGGTTCTGCTGCTTCTCTTTTCTTCAGGGTCTGGATGCATGATCAAAATTCTGTTGCAGTAGGAGGTTCACATGACACTTCCCATGGAGCCGCAACTACAAAAGACGATATAGTCTGGTTAGCACCTGGCCAGCTGAACTGTTATTTGAGGTATTCCGCCCACTGATCAAGCCGTTGTTCCCTACTGTGAATACCTTGATCACTTTTATCCCAGATTGCTTCACTAGCTGTGGTTCCCCGAACTCCAGTTTTGCGTATCAGTTGGAACAGTCTTTGACTGCTCCCTGATGCATCTGAGACTTCCATTTCACTACCTATTGTCGTCCACCAGTTCTCACGATCTTTCTTAAGGCTCTTCTTGAGTTATCGTTGCATATCATCATCCATTCCTATCAAGCACCAACTTCCGACACAGCTCTCGACGGACGGCAACGTGGCGCTCCAGCTCAACTGGTACGCTAACTCAAATCAACCACAGCAGTAAGCCACCGTTGGCGTGGCTCAGTGCAAAATTGCAGGTCCTGTTGGACCACGTGCGTTGAGTCTGACCACGCATTAGTTTTGATGCAGATTACTCTCCGACTGACTGATCGGCGACAAAACCAACATACTCGTACAGGTGGTTTTCAAATCACGGATTATTCCTAACTGATTAAGAACACAATGTGAGTGAACATATGTTTGCGGTGAATTCTTTTTCAAGCCTTTACAATCACATTTATATGAACAACTTCAATACGGTCAAACAGAAACACATGATTCATCCACTTTTCTGTTTGACCGTGTTGAATTTTTTTCCTATAAATGTGATTGTAAAGGCACGAAAAGGAATTCACCGAAAACATATGTTGGTCTACACTGTGTTCTTAAACTCGTATAACTTAGCATCGACTATCTGTTCCAGCAGTCCGTATACGCTATGAATCAGAGCTAGTGTGTGAGGTAAGCGCGCTTCAAAGTGCTGATGTAGATGAACAGTGGGATCAGATTAGGCGAGCAATGCATTCCGCAGCGAATGTTGTTTGTGGGTCTGAGCTTCAAACCCACCGGAGGCATTGGATATCTCGGGAGTCAGTAGATTTGATGGAGAGAAAAAACGACAAATCTCGACCTGACAGGGTCAAAACAGAGTTAGGTGGCATCTACAACGTCAGCTCATGAAGAGCTTCAAGAAGGATAGTGAAAACTGGTGGGCAACAATAGCTAGTGGAATGGAAGTAGCGGCTGCATCAGGGAACAGTCAAAGATTGTTACAACTAATACGCATCACGAGAGGTCGGCGAACTCCAGTTGGTGCGACAGTCTGAGATAAAAGAGGAGAAGCTATTCAAAATAGGGGTGAACGACTCGATCGCTGGGCAGAACACTTCAGCGAACAGTTCAGTTGGCCTGCCGCTAACCAGGTTGCCTCATCCGCAACTGAAGCTCCTGAGGC